GGGCAGGAGCGGCAGCGTGAGTGAAGGAGAGCAGCAGCACTTCCTCTGAGTTCAGATTAATTTTCACCTCTTTAAAGCATTGTCATCTAAAACCTCACAAGCTGCAGTCACAATCCATAATACAAAGCAATGGAGTTCCCACAAGCTTGACCCAGAGGTCCCAGCAGCTGTAGACAGCTCGCAGTGCTGGGAGATGCTGGTCAGGGGGAGCAGGAGCAAACACAGCACAGATACCATCAGTAACACCCTCCAGGCTGATTGCGCAGCCCAAGCATCGGCACAAGGGGCAGGACCCAGCCATCCCCCATTTGTCCTGAGCTTTTAGCGCTGGAGTCCACCGGCACCGACTGCAGAACAGCATCTTGTCCGTTAGGGGAGAGACCAGATACAAAGACATATTACAAAAGCCATGAGCTAGTGGCTGTGGGTGGACAGACTCACTGCAGCTGAGGTGCTGAGGAGCAATGAGCTGTGCTAATTAACCCCAGGAGCTCCCCAGGGCTGCCTGGACCCCGTGCCCTGGGTCTCTTTGCTGCAGAGCAGTGATGCTGGAGCCGTCCCGGGCGGGCCAGGGCAGCTCTGCCTGTGCGATGCAAAGGGTCAGCGCAGAAAACGGCAATGGTCCCCTTGAGCCCTATTGTCTGAGAGTCCATCGCTTGTAGTCCAGCAGAGCTCGTAGCATCTCATAATCTCCACTTTTTGACATTTGACAGCCTGCTGCACGCTGCCAGAGTGTCTGACTCAGAGGAGCATACAGCAGCCAGTTCTGCCTGTGCTGGTCCCTCCTTCTGCTCAGACAATAGCACAGGAAGACAGCTTGCCCAGTCTGAGACAGCACCAACGCGTGCTGTGCTGCTGCGCGGGCGTCACGGTAACGGGGCACCGTGGGGTAATGGTGTTTGGTGCTGGCCTGGCAGTCCATCGCCATTTGCAAGGTGGAAGGACTTTTACATGCTGCCACTCCTCCAGGTATCCAGGCTGCCGCTCTCTCGGCTGATGCCCTTTTTACCCAAAAATCAGAGCTTCGCCTTCCTGTTCCCCGCAGTGCCACAGGCCACAGGTTCACTGCAATCCCGCTGGTCTCGTTTGTCCCTCGTGTCTCAAAGCGCTGATCCCAGCTCCCAGCAGTGGTGGCAGGCACAGGAACGACTGCCCAGGGCAGCCTGCCCAGAGCATCACCCCCGTTACCAGCTCAGGGTCCAGCATGTCCCTGGCCTGGAAGGGATGCTTCGGGAGAGCCTGCCAGGAACCGAGACCTTCAGTGTTCCAGTGGAGAGCTGGCAACAGGAGCATCTGAGCTGGTGCAGCCTTTCAGGCTTTACCGCGGTGTGAAATGCAGCTTGGGAGAAGGGGAGAAGGCAGAGAGCTCTGTTCTCCCGTCCTCGCAGCGCAGGACAGCAGGGAATACAGAGCAGGCATGCAGGAGAAACACTGCCCGAACACTGAGGGACGAGAGCATGGAGCTTGCTGCTGCTTGATGTCTTTCAGCACAGAGCTCAGCAAGGCATGGGAGGGACTGGACACCTCTGTGCATGCTAACCATATCTAGAGTTGCCATTAGCTACAGAGACTGGGAAGCAATATTAAAGCTTTCTGCTTCAGGAATTTGTTAATGGGAATCAGGAGGAAAGCAGCATGGGCAGAGTAAGCCCATAGCTGGTTGAGAGATTCTCGGTCCTTCCTCAGGGGCTCCCATTACTGACCAGTGTTAAAGACAGGCGGGCTGGCAGGGACCCCCCCGGGCACCCCCTCGGCCGTGGCACTTCTGTCCCTGGGGCTGGCAGCTCTGGCACTCCGGGTGTCAGCGCAGGGCAGCGATCAGCAGGGTGAAACGTGGTCTGCAGCAGCTTGTGATAGAATCCCTTAAAAAGGAAACGCATACAAATTACTAGCTATAACTGATGATAAAATAACTATTTTGTGGAGCAAGGAACAGAAGAGTAACACATTGATTTTGGTAATTAATGGTTCAACAGAAACCTGTGCAGGGAGCGCCCTGGGCAAAGTCACTGGAATTGAAGCGCCTTTATGCCCTGGTCCCAGTTCTTTGCCTTACCCCCCTGTGTCTCTCCGAGGCCGACCGCAGAGCCCCCAGGACAGCCACAGGTGCTGGCTCCTGTCCGGGTTGGCTCGCGCTCCTCCCTGCGTTCAGTGCTCGTCCCAACAGGGCTGGAAACTGCCTCCAGCACCACCAAAGTGGTTTCCAGTGCCAGTCCTTGCTGGAGATGGATTGCTCCCCTCCTCAGCTGCCGGCAGTTGGCAGAGGGGCTGTGAGAGCAGCCGCAGAGTGGTGCTGCCTGTGGCAGCCCCCAGCCCTCCTCCCGTTCAGACCTCTGACACTCCTCCTTCCTTCCACTGCTCGGTCACATCAAGACCGAGACCTAGCTTCCATGCAGAAATTTTAGCATTTCAGTTCCAAGTCTGTCAAGCAATATCTAAAAAAATAAAATCAAATAGGAAATTTTACACAGCCACGCTCGTACTTTGTGGTCAGCGCAGAGAGGACCGGTGCACTGCAAGCTCGCGGTGCGTGCAAAGGCAGCGCCCGCCAAGGCCAGAGCGCGGGCTCTGCAGGGGGCCGCGTCCTGAAACTGAGGGTGGTCTCCGACAGTTGCTTTCAGAGATGTGCTGCTGAGCGAATGCCGTTTCTGTGGGAATACAAACACCAGTCGGAATCACAGAGACTGAGAAGCCGGGCAAGCCCCGATGCAGCTCCGGACGATGGCAGGAGGCCCTTGCAGGGTCGGCTGCCTCTGCTCTGCTGGCCACTGCCCTGGCTGGGGTGGCAAGCTGGAACATGGGTGATGCACAGCCCCGCTCCGGCTGTCAGCGATGCTCTCCTGCCTGTCGGATGCTTTTGGAGAACAGCGGGGAGCACTTCTGCTCCGTCCTCCTTGGGGACAACTGCTGCCTGCCCACGCGCTCAACCTCCAGGTCTTGTTTTCTGTGCACTTTCCTCGCAGCAGTCGCTTACACAACCTCGTACCCTATCTGTACAGCAGCGAGACCTGAGGACACCAGCCCTGATCATGCTGCGGGCCTTGCTGTGGTGTCCATAGCCAGAAAAGCTGCTTCCTTCCCACATGGCTGTTAAATCTGGGTGCTGGCTCACCCTCAGAAAAGCCAGTCTGTAATTCTGCAGCATCTGCAGGCCTTAAGTTCTTGCATCCCTCTTAATTTGTTCAGGTTTTCCTTAAGGTAAAATACCTCACGATGCATTGTTCTGACTAATCCTTGTTCCTTGCATATCCCTGCTACCCAGACGGCGATGAGAGGCAGGCTCAAAGCACCGACGTGCTCTGGGCAGCAGGTAGGACTGCAGACACCCCGCCGCGTTGGGAAGGCAGCTCTGCTGGCGCTCAGTACTGGGAAGGACGAGCCCCCCGTCTGCGCCTGGCCACCAGCATGCTGGCCCCGAAACAGGGGTCCTGCAGCCCTGCTCGCCTTCAAACCCCCATTGCCAGGACAGCTAGAGGTTTTCCGACAGGAAAGGTGCTGGCTGTGGGAGAAGGGGAGCCACAGGACCCCGCCGGCCTCTTCACCCAAAAATGAGTGCTGAAGGCATGAGCAGCCCTGTGGCAGCACCAAACCCGCCGTCGCTCTTGCCTTGGCAGGAGACCCGGCACCTCCTCCACCAGCACCTTGGCAAAACAAGCCCAGCTGCATGGCTTACACCAGCAGTAAATACACAAAGGGAGGTTTAAAGCAAGCCAATGCATTTAGCAGTCACAAATACGAGGCAACGTTGACAGGCAAATCTAGCTGGGCTTTGCCTGACAGCCACTTCTGCTTGCAGACTTCAGCTGCATAATTCCCGAAACGGCCGTTTCCTGGGGCTCCGTGGTTTGACGTCAGCATTTCTGCGGTCGTTGATGCCCAAGGTGCTCTTACAGAACCATTTCCAGCCTATTCACATTGTTTCCTCACCATATGTTTATACTAAAAATAGTTGCAATGTGAAGGGATAATCCTGCAAGACCCTGAGCATCCCCATCCACAACGTCTGCTGCAGGAGACCCGGCCAGTGCTGCCAGTGCTTCCCGGGAGCAGCAACACCACTCCACCTCCCAGGCACCGCATCTTCGGGGCAAATTAGCCAAAAAACAAACTGCGCTTCGGGTGGGTGTGCCCAGGCACGAGTGTTTGAGAGGCTGGAAACAAAAATACTCTCACCCTCTGCACTGCACAGGTCAGCGCCTGCGCTGCTGTAATTCTCTTGCCATGGACATCACTTAACACCTTGCAGCTCGTTATGATAATCTTTAACTGTGGGCAGCTGGGACAAGCATTTACCTCTTCATTTTCTTAGATATAAATGCTATCTCGCTGCAGTTTCATTTTACAATATGGTAATATGCTATCCAGGAAAGTCTTGCTACATGCTAATTTATCCAGTAGGCAAATTCCTTTTGGCTAATAAAAGTGCTTGCACAGGAAGCTCAAAACCCAGCAGCAATTAATTATTGACAGAGCATGTGAATTAGAGATAAAAGAAAAGTCATTCTTTCTCACACACAAGATAGTAAATAAATTTAATTATTGTACTAGAAGCAAGGGATCTTATTCTGTATTAAGTTTTATTAGCTGAGACATTTAAAAGCATGTCATCATAACAAAAAGGTCTCGTGTAATCCTAACTGCACCACTCTGGTACAAGGCTCTGAAGTGAATAGGCTTAATTGAGCAAATGGAAGCAGATGGCTTGCTGAACAGACAGGTATTGTACAGGTTTATTGTCAATTAACTTTTGTCTACACATGCCTATGGCGAATTGACTGTATAATGTGTTACCAAGGCTGATTTAACACTTTAGGTGCCCACCAAGTCCCCAGGGTCTGAGAAGAAACAAAACCAGAAGTGCTTTGCCTCCAGGGCCCAGCGGTGTGGCAGCATCCCTTCTCCTGAACGTCCCACCAACGAGTGCACGGGGCAGGAGGGACACTGTGGTGTCCACCTGTGCCTGATCCCTTGCTAACCACCCCTCCTCTGCTTCTGCACAGGAACGTGATGCCCAAGACGCTGGACGGCCAGATCACCATGGAGAAGACCCCCAGCTACTTTGTGACCAACGAGGCCCCCAGGCGCATTCACTCCATGGCCAAGGACACAAAGCTGATCGTGGTGGTGAGGAACCCAGTCACCCGGGCCATCTCGGACTACACGCAAACACTCTCCAAGAAGCCAGAGATCCCCACCTTCGAGGTGCTGGCCTTCAAGAACCGGACCCTGGGGCTGATCGATGCCTCCTGGAGCGCGATCCGCATTGGGATCTACGCTCTGCACCTGGAGAACTGGCTCCAGTACTTCCCCCTCTCCCAAATCCTTTTCGTCAGTGGCGAGAGGCTCATCACTGACCCAGCTGGGGAAATGGCCAAGGTCCAGGACTTCTTAGGCCTCAAGAGGATTGTGACAGAGAAACATTTTTATTTTAATAAAACCAAGGGGTTCCCCTGTTTAAAGAAGCCAGAGGACAGCAGTGCTCCCCGGTGCTTGGGCAAGTCCAAGGGTCGAACTCACCCCAAAATAGACCCAGACGTCATCCACAGACTGCGGAAGTTTTACAAACCATTCAATGTCATGTTTTACCAAATGACGGGCCAAGATTTCCAGTGGGAGCAGGAAGAAATTGATAAGTAGAACCATGAAATCAGGAAAAAAGGTCTTTTCTTTTGGGATGTGAATCGTCGTTAGAGACCCAAAACTCACCCCGGGCTAGAGGCTCAGCCTTGCGAGCGCAAGACTCCTGCACTGTCAGGGCTGCAGCCAACGCTGCCCTGCGTTTCCAGCTCTGAAACCTTCGCAGCACATCACCTCGGGCTGCGCTCGGGCTCTCCCCCCCACGGCTAGCTGAGCGGGAGGGTGGCTCACAGAACCCCGCGGCGTCAAGACAAACCAATAGATTTGATTTCTCCTGCCCTGGATTTCAGTTTTGCCCAAACAGCAGCATCAGACCCGGTAAATTCAGGACACGTGCATTCACATGCACACTGGTATCTGTGTGTGGAAGGAATAAAGCCAGTTATGCTGCAAAGGAACTATGTACAGAAACTTCATTTGCACCAGACATTTCAATTACTTGTTGCACTAAAGCTAGTATTTACCAAGTGCCACAAAACACCTCGGCCCGATTCTCCTCCGACGGATGGGTGTAATGCCACTGTTGGAAGACAGTCGTTCCTGCTCAGTGAGACGAGAACCGGGGCCTCCCCGGCCTCCCCGCTCCTCCTGGAAGCCAAACCGAAGACCATGTCCAGGGACGGGCGCAGAGCGAGCCAGGGTCGCGCCGCCCGGCGCGGTGCAGAGCCACACGAGCCCACGCAGTGCCTCCCGGCCAGGCCGTGCTGTGCCCTGCTCCGTGCTCTGGAGCCAGGCGTTCCCGGTGGGAACCGAGGGGGTGACGGCAAGGCAGAGGCGTGGGGGATAGCCCCAGCATAGGAGCTGGCCAGGGCTGGCCATCGGGCCCCTGCCACCATCCTTCATTTGCACCTTGAAAACGAGATCTCTGCTGCTTGCTGTTGGCAGCCGGGTTTGCAAAATGGGGAAGCAACCTTCATCTTTACTTCAGAACTACAAAAAAAGCAATTAATTCCCAGGGTGAGCACTGCTCTGCACAAAAAATGTGTGCTGTCTAGTGGAAATGGCCAAATCATATGCTCAGCCAAATCTGGTAATCCTGGTAGAAACTGTAGAATAAACCCACATCCCAGCTGGATCCTCCAGTAGCGTGATGGGAGCTGCGCGCTGGAACCAGTGGAGAGCAGGACAGCAGCACTTCGAAACAGCTGCGCCGTTTCCATCTCCACTACTGAGAGCAAAACAGTAAGAGAGGCAACGAAAGGAACAAGGCAGAGCTACCGTTGCTGAAACGTTCCCTTCGCATGGGTGATTACTAAGGGCACTCAGATATTGCTGGTTGCTTTCTTCATTTTAACGAGAGGTGAGGATGCTCCCCGGGTGCAGCGTAGCTGCGAGTGTGCCCCCCATCCCCACCTGGGTGCTGGGTCCCTGCCTGTTGGAAAGCAGCAGAGATGCGGTGAGGGATCACCGTAGGAGGACCAAGACTCAGTTTTGATTAAGGTGGCAAGAAATCCCTGCTGATCCAACTAACCAAATGAAATCGCTGCTGCGCTGGGTAACAAGCTGAACCTGCTTTGGGTTTCATGGCCTGTCGTGTGGTTCATTACGCCATGAAGTGGTGCTGGTGCCTTGGATTGGATGAAAAACGAGCTGAAGCCATTTGGAAAATTTACACCGTGGGCCATGCTGGAGGGGTACCACAAGGTCCTTGCTAACGTCACGTCAGTTCCTATTAGCCTGGTTAGATTTAAAAACAGCTCCTGACATAACACGGTTTTTCACAGACCCACAAATCCCCCCATTATTACACGAAAATTGGAAATATGCAATAGGAGTAATTTCACAGTGTTTCACACGTTATTAAAATGTCAGATCAGCTCCTAAGGGAAAACTGTTGTTACACAACCCAGTGCAAGCGGCTTGATGGATTCAGTGGGACACTGAGGGGCCCTTCGAGGCCCAGTGTCCAGGCTCCTCACCGCAGTGATATCTGGAAATATCTCCCCGTTCCCAGTATGCTGCGGACACCGTGGCGCTGGCCCTGATGGTGCTGAGCAGAGCCTGCCAGCGGGGTGGCCCTGGTCACCTGCGGGGGGGGGCTTGGTTCCGGGGAGGACACGGCCCGGGCTCACAGCGTGGCCGGGACCTGGCAGGCTGGCGGCTGTGTGTGACCGCAGCTGTCACGGCCATCAGCGTGGCATGGTGCATCGCCTCCACGGCCAGAGCTTGGGCTCTCAGCCTCTGTCTGCAGCTTCACCAGGAGCAGCTTTTCTCTGAGCAAGGTCTGCTTGAGCTTGAACGCACCCCTGAGAGCCCCCGTCCCCACCCAGCAGTCCCCCTGCACACCCCAGCCGTGCTCTGGTCCCGTCCAAGCACTGCTCCACCTCTCCCTCCTGTCCCCAACTGCCATCAAGCCCCCCCCACCACTCTTCCCATCGTGTCCATCGCTGGAGGGACAGGAGATCTGAAAATGGGTTTGTCTGAGAATTACAGCCCGACAAAGCACCCCGTTAGAAAAGGCACAGCAGCATCCATCTGGCACTGGGACAAAGCAGGGCTCAGCCCGCAGCGGGGGCAAGGCCCTGGAGCGGGGACCCAGAAAGGGGACCCGGCGCAGGACGCAGTCACCCTGGCCCCCCGGAGCAGCCACTCAACAGTTTACAGAGGCGGGGGCGGACGGGAGGGGCGGGGCCC